GACTCTGGTGTGACCTCTGGGGGGATGCTTGGACTCTGGCGTGACCTCTGGGGGGGAAGCTTTGACCCTGGTGTGACCTCTGGGGGGGAAGCTTTGACTCTGGTGTGACCTCTGGGGGGATGCTTGGACTCTGGTGTGACCTCTGGGGGGATGCTTGGACTCTGGCGTGACCTCTGGGGGGGAAGCTTTGCCTCTGGTGTGACCTCTGGGGCTCACTATGATGCCAGTCTTGCAGTCACATACATGGCAGACCGCCGACTACTTACTCCTCCTTCCCGGTGAATGTGTAGGAGCGGATCCAGGGACTCGGCACAGACAGACGGGGGGCAAATGCCAGGGAAGGCAAGAATGCCGAGAGCGATCCCTCCATGAGGTGCGGACTCCCACACACGGCATACTCAGTCTTACACATGTATAAACACTTGGCAAAGAAGCACACATTGTTTGCTGAGGAAAGAAGAGACAAATGACAACGGAGGAACCCGGAATAGACCCAAAGATGTCACAAGACGTCCACTCCCCCAACCCCCATACCTGGAGAGACGAAGAAGACACTCTCCAAGTCAGCATTGCTGGTCACCTCCAGGATGTCGCTGGTCACATTGACTAATCGGCCGGCAACAGGAGGAACTCTCCGGAAGTCTAGAATACTGCAGACAGAGGATGATGAGAGTGATGGGAGGAGGAAGTCTAGACAGAGGATGGTGAGAGTGATGGGAGGAGGAAGTCTAGACAGAGCATGATGAGAGTCATGGGAGGAGGAAGTCTAGACAGAGGATGATGAGAGTCATGGGAGGAGGAAGTCTAGACAGAGGATGATGAGAGTCATCAGAGGAGGAAGTCTAGAAAGAGGATGGTGAGAGTGATGGGAGGAGGAAGTCTAGAGAGGATGATGAGAGTCATGGGAGGAGGAAGTCTAGACAGAGGATGGTGAGAGTGATGGGAAGAGGAAGTCTAGAGAGAGGATGATGAGAGTCATCAGAGGAGGAAGTCTAGACAGAGGATGGTGAGAGTGATGGGAGGAGGAAGTCTAGAGAGAGGATGATGAGAGTCATGGGAGGAGGAAGTCTAGAGAGAGGAGGATGAAAGTGATGGGAGGAGGAAGTCTAGAGAGAGGATGATGAGAGTGATGGGAGGAGGAAGTCTAGACAGAGGAGGATGAGAGTGATGGGAGGAGGAAATCTAGACAGAGGATGGTGAAAGTCATCAGAGGAGGAAGTCTAGAGAGAGGATGGTGAGAGTGATGGGAGGAGGAAGTCTAGAGAGAGGATGATGAGAGTGATGGGAGGAGGAAGTCTAGAGAGAGGATGATGAGAGTGATGGGAGGAGGACGTCTAGAGAGAGGATGATGAGAGTGATGGGAGGAGGAAGTCTAGACAGAGGATGATGAGAGTGATGAGTGATGGGATGATGAGAGTGATGGGATGATGAGAGTGATGAGTGATGGGACGATGAGAGTGATGGGACGATGAGAGTGATGGGACGATGAGAGTGATGGGACGATGAGAGTGTGAGTGATGGGATGGAGAGTGATGGGATGATGAGAGTGATGGGATGATGAGAGTGATGGGATGATGAGAGTGATGGGATGATGAGAGTGATGGGATGATGAGAGTGATGGGATGATGAGTGATGGGATGATGAGAGTGATGGGATGATGAGAGTGATGGGATGATGAGAGTGATGGGATGATGAGAGTGATGGGATGATGAGAGTGATGGGACGATGAGAGTGATGGGA